CAGGCCTAGGCCCGGGCGGGCCAGCGGTTCAGAATTGGCGGACCTGGGACCGGCCCGGGTAGCCACCGGGTCCGGGCCGGGTAACCACCGGGTCCAGGCCGGGCCTCCGATTTGGGTATTTTTTTTGCTTTCCTACCCCCCCCCCCCCCCCCCCCTCACTCCCACCCCTCAAGGCGCAAACCCCTCCTAACCATCAAACCCAACCCGGGTGGAACCCCAAAATTTGGCCCGGACCCGGGCCCGACCCGGCCGGTTCGCCAAATGTGAGACCCGAGCCCGGACCTGCCCTCCCCCTGAGCCTAGGCCCGACCCGGACCCGAGAACCGGGCCGGTCCCGCACAGTGGCGGGCCAAGGCGGTCCACAGACCGGATGGCCCGACCCGAGTCCACCACTACTAATAGGGTTGTGAATGGGTGAGGTACATGTTTTGTACGGTTGTACCCGCCGGATAAAAAACTAGAGAACTTTTGAACTCCATAATTCTTGTGGCAGCTAATTTGGTCTCATTATTTTAGCCCTACACAATTATATACATGGGCATCATGACAGACATAAGAACAATCAATGTCAAGTCATACACTAACACTAGTTACCAAAATATGTTTAGCAAGAATTAGATTTTTTTCTTTAATTCTAAAATTACAGAGGGTATTTATTAGCTGTAAGCACAGAGAAAAATGAAGAATAAGAAATAAATTGATAACAAAGGAATAAGCATTTCATTATATTCATGTTGAGAAGCAAAATTAAAGGGAGGAATCCATTTTTCATGGCCTCAAAGAGGAAAGAATAACGAAAATTCTTGACTTGACAATACCACCCATAGCTTTAATTTTGAGTTCAGATGCTTACATTCCATTCCCCAGAATTTCTACTTTTCTTCTCTGTCTCTCCTTCAATTTATTCTTCTTCTCCTACAAGGAATATCATTCCAATGCCAAGTGCCAACCAATCCTGGGTGTACATCTGTGGCTGCTAATGATTGACCGGTGTGAAAAAATGAGAAGATAGAAGAGAATAGTACTACTCTAATACGTAAAAGCTAACTACTATTCTACAAACCGTACGGACCCCAAGAAAGGATAACTTATGTACTTCAATCTGCTGTCTAAATAAGGAAGCAGATAAAATAGGCTAAAGTGATGACTATACAAGTTTATTCCAAAAATAGTATAATCATAGTAAAATAAAACAGGCTAAAAATCTTGAAGAAACCATCAAGAGCTTTATGACTTCAGGAAAATACGGAGTACGTTTTAGCTTTCACAAAAGGAAAACAGTCAAAAAGTTATATCTATTCTCTAACGCAATTTAATTGACTTTAACAAAACTTGGTGCTCATTGTATCATTCCTCACCTGCAGTTCACTCCTATCCACATGTCAACAGAACGGTTGGAGAATTATGTTCCTACACTTCCCCTAAAGGCAGCAATTGATCCCTCCAAACTGCAAAAAATATTCATGAGATATCATAATCAGTTTGTGTTCAGAAAAAAAGTTCAAATGGAACTAAGGCCTTTATTTTGTTCAAATCTAATGAGTTTTTCATCTCATAGCAAATTGAATACTGAAGTAAGAAGAAAATCGTAAGATCAAACTAATCTCCACATGATTCTTTAGATATCAATAGACCAAGAATAATTCCTTGAATAAAAACTGAATTATGTCCTTGACATGATGAGTATATTAGGTTTCAACTTGTAGTATTAGTGACTGTATGAAGACCTCTATCGCTGGGTATTAAAATTTATTCTGCAATAGTTGTTTACAATAATTTTTTATATTCAACACAAACCACATTAATATGCTCTTAGCTCTTTGCATTTGTGGAAAACCTATAAAAATAAAGTATGCATGGAATTTGACACATTTACCAAATTGATAGAGTCAAAATGAAGAGATAATCCTTCTAAAGCAGTTTAACATGATTATAATACGGAGTATAAAACATGCAGCACTGTATTCTCTCAAAGAAATTTATACTCCCTCCGTCCCCCAAAAAGTCTGGTTTCATAAACTTTTTAGAAATTGCTCAATATAGGACTAAATGAATTCCGAAGTGCAAAAACAAGACTATGCATGTTTTATTCCCCAAATAGGACTCATTTAGTCCTATTAAAAGAATAAATTGAGTAAAATTTCCCAAACTAGGAGTGAATGAGTCCTATGTTTGGAATACAATAATGATAATCCTATTTATTAACTTTATCATTATTTTAGTCCTTTTAGGGAATTTACTCAAAAAATGGCCCAATAAAAGAGACTAGCTTTAGAATTTGACTTAAATTTTATGTGAAATTTCTGTAAACCTATGCATTAAGCGATTTTAATCAATTACCATCTGGGAAATAAGTTTTATTAGTGCAAGTGACCATTTATAACTAGTAAAAGGTTGTATGTCGATTTGGTTACACAAATAAAAAAGTTGTAAGTTAAAACCTCTTTCGGAGTTTTTTCAATCAATGAAGTACCTGAAAGATACATTATCTATCAATGAAGTACCTGAAAGATACATTATCTATCAATGAAGTACCTGAAAGAATAAGACTACCAATTAAGGGCTTGAATGATTGAAACCTGTTAATCTAAACTTGAACTATCATGAATTTTGGTTTCATTATGAAGGACCCGAAAGAATAAGACTATCAATTTAGGGCTTGAATGATTGAAACCTATCAATCTAAACTTGAGCTATCATGAATTTTGATTTATGTAAAATTTCAACGAATTTCCTTCATGGAATATATATATATATATATATATATATATATTTAATTATTAATTGATACTAAAATTACTTAAAGTATATAAAATAAAAAATAAAGATATGTTACGTCTTAGATTGGTAGTTTTCAATAACTAGGGCCCTAAATTGATGCTATGTAGTTTTTATCTTCAAGGTCCTTGGTGGGTAGTGATAGAATATACTGAGGGTCCTGGATTGAAGAATTCAAGTCTTTGGGTTTGATAGCACCACACCGAAAATTCTGAAATCTGCTTTAACAAAATTTATTGACAAAAAATGAATTAGTTATTAAGTTTATCTCACAAGTCAAGATAGTTAGATAAAAAAGGGTGATGTAATTCAGACATAGGGATGACCTATGGAATGGAAGCAAACAAAAGAATTAAAATACAAATGTCTAGCAATGATAGGTAGAATCATACTTTCCATCAAACACAAGTATGAAAAAGTAAAGTCCTTCAACGGAGTTCTCTGGAGGGTCCCAACTCCCAATACCTATTCCATTAGAATTTAGAAATAAAGTAATTTAACTGAGTTTACTGTCCAGAACAAGTAAGGCTTTGTTTGCAACCACTTGTGCTTAAATAAAAGCACTTTTTGATAAAAAGTGATTAGTAGTCAAAGTTGGTAGTGTTTGGTAAAATAAGTGCTTTTTGTGTAATAGAAAAAGTAAAAAAGAGATTCTACACGGAAGCCAAGAAAGTAAAAGTTGGTAATGTTTTGTAAAATAAGTGCTTTTTTTCTTAAAAAAAAAAGTCAAAATCACTTTTCTTAAGTGGTTGCAAACAAAGCCTAAGTACATACCATGCTCACAGTTGGGTGAAAAGGAATGTATTCCATATTCTATTTCTATCCTTCAACTTAAGCTAAAGAAAAGCATCTTCGTTCATTTTCTCAACTATAACATAATATTTGGTGGTAGATTATGACATAAAGAGTGTGCTAATTCATCAGATACATCAAACATTTAAATGAAGATGCTGAAAGCAAGTGGAAACAAAATTTAATTTCCACGCACTATACCTGGAACTGAAGAACTAATACCAATGTTGCACGCATGAGCTTCATTCATACACCATCTATGGAAACGATAGGAACGCCCCTAGCTTTAGGATAAGTAAATATCAAACCAATACCTGTTGGACAATAGGAACGTAATAAGGGTTTGGGAAAGAAAATAGTAGGACTTTTGTGCCTACCAAATTGAACTATACTGAAGCTAAAGATATGCTCCGCACTCAGCTCACCATCGCAACCTTAATCCCTACTATGTTGGGTTGAGAGTATGAAAATTATAATACTTTTCTATTATCTACAATTAGTTAATACTACACATTCATACAAAAATAAGAAGTGGTGAAGTTTTACGTCAAATGTCCTTCCTGTTGCGACACAAGGAAGAATACAACAAAAGTGTTAAAACAATTATTATCATTTGTTCTTCCACTTGCATGAAAAATATTATGAGATGGTAATGAGTTGACATAATTGCTCTATATTGTCATGTTCCCCTACGAGATTGATATAGTGAAATCGACACACACACCCTTCCCGGAACATGACTGTTCAAGCTAAAATGATACTTTGTACTATAAATCTACGGTATTATAGTAGACCATGAGGTGACTTGATAACCATGGTAAAGTATCTCTTATTAAGGAAATAACGCATTGAATTAATAATGATGAACATCAATCAGGAGAAACATTTATGCACCGATTTTTACCACTTCCTTTTCTTATGTCTATATGACAGGTACTAGATGCTTCAGTCAAAAGAATGTTATATAGGAAATACAAAATGAAATTGCAGGTCTCAACATTTAAGACATCATGAATAGTGGATTCCTTCCCTTAAAAAATAATAAAATTTCAACTGTAATCTTGGGAATAAGGTTCCAAATATTTTTTCACGAAAGGAATACAGATGTGAAGAAAACGCCTGTGGTGGATCTATTCTTGTACCATTTGTAAGGTTTTAAGTGTTTTGGACTCATATTGGAGAAACTTTAATGCATATTGCTGCAGCCTAATACATAGAGGGTATGTGTACCATGGCCTACAGATGTGTACAAGCAACAAGGACAAGATCTCCTTTTGGGTTGCTGTGAAGATTGGATGGGGTGAAGCTACTTAACCTTTGCATTGGGTCTGTACAAGATTCCATTCCTTACATGGACCCCTCTCACGGCCTATCCTCATATCTTTATAAATCCTCATTGAGCACAACTTTGTATTATGAAAAATCGTCCATGACATTAGAAATAGATAAGAGGTGTTGCAGAAGTTTGTTTTGGTAGAGCATCAAACATAATATACTTTGCAGAGCATAGAAGGCCCCATTAGTCACAATTCAAGGGTGGGAACAGACTGCACAAGCAAACTAATATCCCTTTTGCAGCCTGCAGGTATATTTTGAAAAGTATTTATATAGCCCCGGACCAGGTACTCATTTTTTCCCAACATGTCACTTACTTGCTAATTATCACATCGAAGACCAAATATGTATCAAGGAAGGAGTATACACACTTCCACAAGGATGTCAGTTCCTCCAGAAAGGCATTTATTCCTGCAAGGTGGGAATGGCCATGGAGACTCAAGACTTGTTCTTTCAACCGATGCCAAGCCAAGATTGAAGTGGACAACTGACCTCCATGAGCGGTTTATAGAAGCAGTTAATCAACTTGGTGGAGCAGACAGTAAGTGCAAGGAAATGAGTTGGATTTCAATAATCAGCAGAGGGGTGTTTTTCTTTCTTTCTGATGCCTCAACACATAATTCCTTTGTTGCAGAAGCCACTCCAAAGTCTGTTTTGAAGCTAATGGGAATTCAGGGATTAACGTTATACCATTTAAAGAGTCATCTTCAGGTAAATACTTACCACCCCTACTTGACTAAATTTACAAAACACATAGTTGTTCTTTCATATCCCGACCATTGTAACCAAAGACAGCAGGTTAATTACATGCATGAAGTTGAATTGTTGACATATAGCCATATAGGGCAGGGCAGGCCCTTTTTGTTACAAAAATGCTCACAATTTGAAGTTCTATAATTTGTTTCGAGCTAAAGTATAATAATGACGATGTTGATAACATTTTGTGTTTGGGATGGCAGAAATACAGGCTAAGCAAGAATCTTCACCTGCAAGCCAATAGTGGATCCAGTAAAACAAGTAATTCTATATTCTGTAATGAACTTATCTGCAATATATCTCAATTAGAACACACAACACCAAATTGATGATTTCGCAAATGAATACAGCAATAGGAGGAGGCTCGGGAGAAGACAAGATAATGGATGCAAATGAAAATCATGTGAATAATGTGAGCAATGGGCCTCAAACAAATAAGTAAGAATATAATACGTGATATAGTGTTCATTTACTTGTCTGAGAAGTGTAACACCTTAATATGAAACACTTCAATGGAGGTTGTTCTGACCAACACATTTTATTATTCAGAAACATACACATAAGTGAAGCCATACGGATGCAAATTGAAGTCCAACGAAGGTTACATGAACAGCTTGAGGTAAATATAAAAAGCGGGAACTGCAATATTTAGTTTTCGTAGCATTGAGTTTTGAAACTGCTTCAAAACGCCATGTTCTTATTTCATATCTTTATTTTAATGCTCATCAAAGATGTGTTTGCTCCTCTTTGAATAATATATCCAATTGAATTGACATAGGTACAACGACATTTACAGCTTAGGATAGAGGCTCAAGGAAAATACTTACAGGCTGTTCTGGAGAAAGCACAAGAAACCATTGGGAGACAGAACTTGGGAATAGATGCAGCCAGGGTTCAGCTCTCAGAGCTGGTATCCAATGCGCCCAACCAATGCCTTGACTCGGCATTTCAAGAAGCTAAAGAAATACCGGGGTTTAGCCGACCTCAAGTACGAGCAGCCCAACCAACAGATTGTTCACTAGACAGCTGTTTGACCTCCTGTGAAGGATCTTCCAGAGAGCATGAAATGAACCATAACCAGTTGGTATTGGGGCCTCTAAACTTCAGATCGTACATGGAGTCTAAGGAAACTGAAAATGAAACGAGGAGACCGCAAACCCAACTGGCATGGAGCAATGACCCGAAAGAATCCCGCAACTTCACTCCCATAATGGATGAAGCCGTTGAAACCAGGTGCAATAACCTATCAATGAGCGTCGGACTTCAAGAAGGAAGATGGAATTGCAAGAACAGCTACGAATCCGATGCCACCGCAACTGCAGATGCTGGTGCCAAACTCTATTCGCAGTCAGCTGATAGATACGACTCAACTAAAACCGAGAAACAGAGGATGCCACAGGAGTATAAACAGCCCAATTTAGGATCAAAACTGGACCTGAACGCAGACGATGAAGTCGATGTTGCTTCGAGTTGCAAACAATTTGACCTAAATGGCTTGTGTTGGAGCTAAGCGGCACCGTTTCCACGAAATGGAGAAAACCCTAGATAGTGTTCTCGTTTCAGAGATCAATCAATAATGTATTTCAATTCAATACTAGCCCATCTGATAGAATCGAATTATGTTGTAGTTCGTGACTAAGAACAATCTGGAGGTATCCCATTTTCGACAAGCTGTGTTGACTGACTGTGCTCTCTAAATGAAACTAACGGAAACACGTTAACACTACAGCTGAAATTTAACCCTTCCATCTCTAATCGCTCAAATTTATGGAACCGATTGAATATGCGCTGCAATGAATAAAAGATCGTTTACAGGGCCACTCCCATCCGGCCGGTCCGATTGAGTTGGTCCCTGATATCGATCAACTCGAACAGGAGGTGCTCACTCTTCTGGGCGCTAATCAAAAGACGAGCATCGCCACGCTTTGCGCAGTGCAGCAACAAACGGACCTGATGTTCAGTTTTGACAGCCATGCACGTATGCAGATGCTACAGTATAAAACTGTTCAAAGTGCCGTTTGGATGAAATGAAAGGCTCGAAATCAAATCAAACATATCTTTGTACCACTCTTATACCCGCTTTTGTAATCACCTATGTTTGTGAAATGTTTTTTTTGTCTGACAATACTTTGCATAGACAAAATATTGTTTGTGAATCAGGTGCACGGACAAAAAAAAACATTCACAAACACGGTGGGTATAAGGTGGCTATAAGAATGGGTACATCAAGTATTGTTGCAAATCAAATAGTACCCCCTCCCGAAATTCACTTCATACTTCACACTTTGATTTTTTTAATCGTCAATTAGCCTTCTATCATATCATAAGATTCAGAATCATTATATCAATCAAAGGAAAAACAAATTTGATATCAACTAAACACCAACAACTACGACTATAAACCCTATGATCAGACTTAGAGACGGTCACCCTGAAAGATCAACATGAATCGCTAACCATGTAGCGGGCGTGACACAGCCAACCATGTTTCCATAGATCCAAACATACTCAATGACATAAAAAGGCTGAATTTCCAAACAAACTGACAAACCTAACAACATAGATGGTAACAAGAAACCATCATCATCATCATTACCTCAGTGCCGCAAACGCTTACCATCTACGATGGGGTAAGGGAGGTCGGATGTACGCAGTCTTACCCATGTACTAAAGCACCGAAACACTTTTTCCTGATGACCCATAGTGAAATTCGCGTCCAAAATTGCATGCACTGACTACTACTTCATAATAAAGAAGCGCGGACAGTTTATATAGCCATTTTCTTTATTCCATCTTATTCTCAAACCAAAAAATAGTGAGTCTTTGGCTCCATTAAAAAAGATGGAAAAGGTAACAAGAAACCAAATGACAAAATAATAATAATAATTAATAGGAAAACTTTCACTGACTCTAGCACCTCGTACAACTCATGGCGGTGATTCAGGAGAAGGTCGTATCATTGGTACCACTCTAATTGATCCTCCATTGTCGATCGAAATCTGGCCTATTCGAAGCCCGTGTAACTCTCCCCGTCCCACGTTCATGTCGGCTAGGCTCTCCATGGAATTCTCCAAATAAGTTAGAACAAAACGTCTGCTCCTCCTCCCTTGTGATTAACCAAAACAACCGCTGCAATCCGTGTTAAAACAAAAACCCAAGCAAAGCGACATCACCTGACAAGGAACCCCCTTGCCGTCAATGCTGCTCCTCGTTCCAGGCCAGAGTTGTTCCTTCGTGTCGCTGTGATACCACAATTGCTCCTCGGTGCAAGCCGATAGCAGAAAAACGAACTCTAGCGGCTATTTGCCATGAAGAGAGAGAGAGACTCGCTTAAACATGGTCTTAGTTTTAGAAAGTCCAGGAAGTCCCACAATCAACTTTCCATTTTTATTTCTTACTATATTTTGTAAGTTTTGGAATTGAATTAATCATGTTGCCCCTTTCACATGTAACCCTACACATATCCGCCCCCTCCTTCTACTCGCTTCTCATTATTATCTTCACGTCTCTCTCTCTCTCTCTCTCTCTCTCTCTAATCATTGCCTCTCCATCTTCCCGTTTGTCTGCAACCCTCCGTTCCCCCATCATCCTCAGTCGCCCCTTGTTTCACCTTTCAATCGCACCGTCTTTCAAACCCCTAGATTTCACTACCCTCTCTGGAAACTCTCCGTCGAATCCCTCTCTCATTCCCCGTCATCTACACCCCATCTCTGATAATCAGTTCGCCTACATCGTCAAACCCTCTGTATGGATAAAATAAATCTAATGGCAAATGTCCCGTTAGATGACAAAGCACATGTTATCGATTCGTCGCCTATTTCAGATCCGCTAGCCCATTTCCATTCAAGATGTACATCGTTCGGTTTGGGGTTTACTGTTCTTCCGAAAATGATCCCAACTGGCGCTTGAGGAAGAACTATGGTGATAATCTTGTTTCTAACACGTACGATGGCTTGGATGGACTTGACGAGAAAAAAGGAGAAGATGTGACATAGGTGCCAAGAAAGGGTAGTTCGGCAGAAGGCTTCGATTCAAAGTCAGAAGACGAGGATGGCTTCGATGTGGGGTCAGAAGATGAGGAAGGAAAAATAAGAGTGGAGGAAGGGCATAGCAACGACACGGAAGGACAATAATTGTAACACCCCCAAATTTCCCACCCAAAAACACTTTGAAATAAAACTTTATTATTAATTTTATTTGAAAACATCAGAATTGTGCAGCGGAAAAATCAAAGGGAAATAGGGGCGTTACCGCCACACTCGGCTCTAACCTAACCGAGTGCACAGGCTAATCACCACAGAAACAATTAAACTCAATAAGTGTCTTGAAAATTAAATTAAACTACGATATTATCTACTAATTACATTTTCTCTAGCGGAAGCTCTCTCGAAATCAACATCATCATCAAACGTCACCTGTACAAATCAAGTACAGAAGAAAAAAAATAAAAGAAAACAAAAATTAGCAACAATGCTAAGTAAGTTCTACCTAACCCCATAAAATAATATAATTTAATATTCTTGAAAAAAAACATTTAGGATGAAAAAAATCTTTTTAAAACAATTTATAAAATCTTCTCACAACATAATTCACTAGTAAAATAATAGTACTTCAAGTATAAGTAAATATTTCCCAACCACAATAATTACAAAATACCAAATATACATAAAGTACCAAAATTATTCTCAAAATACTTTCAAATATTCATAATCAATTTTAGCATAATCAAACTGAATTAAATCCAAAAGTATTTGTACTTTGAAATTCCACAAATAATTTGATAATTCAATCCAACTCAAATTCAATCCAATAATCCAACAACTCAAATCCAATCCAATCAAATATAATTCTCCTCAAAATCTCAAAACATCAATCCAAATATAATTTGTACTCCTAATACATTTGAAGGGCGGTGCTCAACATTTTATTGAGCCTGATGGTCCGTTGTTATGTACGGCCACCCCGGGACTTTTGCCGGTACCACTTCTAACCTGAGGAAACTGAACCTCTACCTTAAGTGTGCACACCCCCTGAAAGGGATTCCAAGCCCTACGGGTAGTAAGAAGTCCAAGTAGTTCGGACGTCAACGTCCCCCTACTCCACCAAAATGGGATTACCCTATAGCAGTGACTAGGTTACTGTTACTACTGAATAACAGGGTCTTTTGCCCGAATTTTACCGCCAACATCCACAGTCAAGGTCGTGAAGACACCAACATTCACAGTCAAGGTCGTGGAGACACCAACATCCACAGTCAAGGTCGTGGAGACACCAACATCCCAACTCTTTGTGAGTAAACAAGTAGTAGCAGCCCTAATCACTCTCCACAGTCAAGGTCGTGGAGAACACTGACACCACGGATTTCTCCCGCGATGCCCTTACATTGAAAGGTTCTTTTTATCTTGATTACTTTTCGAAAATTCTATATCTATTATTCATAGATATAGTTTTAGAATAAGGATTATTATCCTTGGATTTCAAAACACAAGTTCACCATGTAGTTCAAAATATCTTGATCTTTAATAGCTTTCAAAATCTCATATTGTACATAGGCATAAATTTCCAAAATAAGATTTAATTGATCCTTTAAACTTTAAACTCGAAATTTCCCAACATGATCAAAATATAGAATACTTCATAAATAGCTCAAATCTCAATCCCAATAGTGATTCATACATAACTTGAAATACTAAAAAAAAAAGTATCACCCAATATTCAATACTCAAATCTCAAATATAATCCTCAATAACATTCCATAAATAATTCTAAATATTCAAATACGAAGTATAAATGTAAATGCTAGAAATTTCACAAAGTACTCAAATAATTTCAAATAAATAATCATATATAGATTTACGAGGAAAAGTAAAATTTTGGTTGATGTAGAACTTACCTCAAATCGCGATAATTCCTAACCAAAGCTTCTATCTCGATTTCCTCCAAATTCACATTCTAAGAATATTAAAATTATAGAATCAATAACGATTATAGGCCTTACTTTAGTCAATCTTATGTATCCTGAATAGTTAGTCAAATTAAGCCTTTATCCCTTCACTTTAGGAGTAAACCAGTCGGCCCATCTACTGTTATTATTAATAATAATTCAGCCCCACTAAACTTTTAACAATCTCGGCCGAAAACAATGAGTAGCAGAAGACTACAGAGTAGAGTCTACGTACATTCAATTCGTCATCTTCGTGGAAGCTCAGCCGACGTGCGCAGGTGGTGCTCTCCGGCGGCAATAGCAATTCAACAGTTCAATTGAGGTGGCCGAGACCCGGGCTTTGTCCTCTTCTTCCGTCGTCAACTGCTCGGCAGTTCATCCGTCAGCAGCGGCATGTCCGACGTGTTGTTCTTCCTCTTCCGGCGACGCAGTGGCAATCTACTTGGGCTGATCATCTCCAAGGGCTGGTTCCTCTGTTTTTGTACAGAGCAGTACGGTCAGTGACTCACTCCGGCAACGGTAAATGGTCATAGCTTCGTCTCCGGCGTCGCTGCTTGAAACAAACCTCTCCGGTGATACGTGGTGCTGGGCGACGACGAAATCTCCAACTGGTCCCTTCTCTTCCTCCCTCTTCGGGTGACGCAGGTGTTACCGCAGGGATTCGCAGGGTAGTGTTATGCATGTCGGGCTTGGGGTTTGTTTCGATCGTTTAGCAAAGTTATTCGTTGTTTCGCAATGTAGTATATGTATATATGTCTGTGGCGGCGACGATGGTTTAGGGTTCGCAGGTTTGTGTGCGGCGTAGTGCAGAGATGCCAACTGGTTCCGATCGTAAACGTTATGTATATATATGCCCAGTAGAGGATTCTAGACTTTAGGGTTTCATGCTTTGGCCGTTTTCTTAAAGCTTTGCCGTAGGCTCGAAAATGTGTGATACGAGTATTACGTAAGAATATAATGGGTGCATTATGAAATCTAGCTTTTATGATGATTATTACCCATACAAAGTATTATTCCATCAGTGTATATGCGTATGAGTAATATTGCATATTAGGAAAAGTCAACCAATGTATGTAAAGATATTATACTACGTATACGAGTATGTAATGCTTATAATTTAATTTAAGTTTAAATTTTACTACGAATCTTTTCACACAATTGTAATTTAACCGACACCTTTAAATAAATTTGTCACTTTTATTATTATTTAATAATTAAGTCAAAGTTTTACGTGACTAAAAATGTACTTTTATTTTATTTAAATTTTCGGAGTGTCACAATAATAATCTTTACCTCCTTTTTTCTTCATTTTCTTGATGTTTTGTGTGATGT